CGCGCGTGTGTGTGTGTGCGCGTGTATGTGTGTGTGTGTGTCTGCACATGAGCATGTATGTATGTGTGTCCGTGTGTGCTCATGTATGTGTGTACGGGTATATGTGTCTATGTGTGTAAGTGTGTATGTGCATTTGCATGTGTACAAATACATACACATGTACAGGTACCTGGACGCAGCAAAAGCAGTAGCGCAATCCAACACGAATGGCTGAGCCATGGGAAAGGGAAAGGGGAACTGAAGTGGGGCAAGGGGAAGGCTCAAGTTCCACATACAACGAAGCCAAGAGAAGCCTCCCCAGCTCCATTTTGCATCAGAGCCGTTCGCTGGTTCTGAAAGCATGCCGGGGAAGAGAAAACAAGGCTGTTCGGAAACACTGCATGGGCCATACTGGGCCACCAACCCTGCGACAAGCCATCGTGTCGAGGAGGCCGGCTGAGGCTCGCCAGGCGCCCAGACCTGGAACCACTGCTGAATCGATACTCGGTTGAAGTAGAATACAATAGAAGCCGAGCGGTGGCTGTCCATGATTGCTGGACAGGTTGTGGTTGACTGCATACTCACCGAACGAGTCGCATGTTGTATTGAACTCAATCGGATGGTACTTAAGCGGTACACCGAATCTTGCACCACGATAGCAACCCAGGCCTCACCCGACGACTCATACACACAACACACAACACACGGACACGCACGTACGGACACACACGCATGCACCTTCTACCTGTGAACACACAGTCCCACAGATACGCAGACACACAAGCACACGGCACATACACACGGACACACAGACACGCGGCACGAACACAGGGACGCACGGAGAGAGAGGGACAGACAGACAGACAGACAGCCAGACAGACAAACAAACAGACAGACACACGGACAGACAGACAGACAGGCAGACAGACAAACAGACGGACGGACAGACAAACAGACAAACAGACAGACGGACGGACGGACAGACAGATAGAAAGACAGACAGACGGACGGACGGACGGACAGACGGCGGACGCACACACAGCGCGCACACAAATACCCTCGTGCGCAGGCGCGTGATGTTGGATCTCTGATCGGTATATATATATATATATTTATACATTTATATACAGATAGAGACAGAGAGAGAGAGAGACATGATATGTATATCGCCATTTATGGGAACGTTGGAGCGGTCGGGTGCAGAGGCTGGGCAGCAGAAGCTCGAGCTCGACCCGAACGCGGCAAGCGACTTGCTCGACTGACGTATCGGCCGTGGTATCTTAAAACCCGAATCTCAAATTTACTCAAACTCAAAGCCCCAAGATCCCGGAGGCAAGCAGCAGGCGTCAATCGCGGATCCATATGTGACGACGTCGGCAAAATGGCGACTCTCCTCCGAGAAGGCTGGCCGAATGATATCTTACAAGTCTCTCCCGACACGACAGCATCCTGCTGTCGTAAGCTGTGGTCATGTAAGGTTCTTGTTCTTCAAAATTCTAATCATCCCAGTTAACCGACAAGAGAAAATAGACATCTTCAAGGGATACCTAAATTAGACTAGAGCAACCCAGCATGGCATCACGTAGTCCCGGTACTGCTCTGCAAATCTTCCCATTGACGGATTGCTGGGACTGAAATAAGCCAAACGGAGTTCTGGGCTGCTGTATCTGTGTCTCACCAAACCCTAAGAAGGGGCAGACCCACTCTGAATGCCAGCTCCACAACTATGCTGCTTAGCGCTGTCCTCCAACACCGCCAGTGCAGGCTGCCAGAGGGACATCCTGCAACACTGCGTAGATTAGGCCGTGAGATCAAATCTGCTCTCATTGGCACCGCATCGCTTGTTGATGAACTTGCAAGTCGGGTCTCCATCTTTAGAAGGAGCAGCGACTGGACGGGAGACTCTCGAGTTTCGGTTCACAACATCTACAATCGACCATCTCAAATCCAGGGGCATTAGAGGCAACGTCTTTGGGGGGGGCAGGATATTGAGAGTGGTTTCTCTCATTCTCTTTGCACGGAAGAGGACACCCAGTCTGCATTGCGGGTAGCTGCGCTGGCGTAATTTTTAACTCCCAAGGCCTGGATTACCTCCACCTCGTATACAGGGAACTTAGCGGCCATTCACCTTCGCGACCCGCCTTTCCAAGACGGAGATGACAGCAGCGTAGGTTACAGTTGTGGGCTGGACTCCTGCCACAGACTGCATGGGGTACGCAAAATGTCTTGCAGCTAGGGTCTGCAGCGAATGAGGCTCTGATTGAGGGCTCGATGTCTTGCGAGAAACTAGGATTCTGGGTGGGTGTAGAGGCTTTGCTGCTGCAGGAATAAAATATGCTATGAGCAGCTGCAGGCTCGGATAAGCCTTCTGGAGCTGCCATTTGTTGGAGAACTGTGATAGATGCTACCCGACAGCCACTTTTGGCCACCGTGCAGTCGGTCTGCGCCCACACAATCAGGCAACAAACCTACAAACGGAAGCCGCAAAACATGTCGACCCAAGTTTGGAATCACAGCATCCTCTGCTAGACAGAGAGTCGAAGGTGCTCCTGAGTCGCGGGGCTCAAGTTCACATGATGGTCAGTTGGATGAACGGAGCTTATGGAAACGGCAGTACAGTAGGGCTTCGAACTCCCAGCTGAAGGTCTAGAGCTAGAGGGAACCAGCTCTGAAAAGCTTCGGGACCAGGCCTTTACGATCTCAGGTCTCACCACAAAACTTGTTGGAGCTCTCCCCCCTGTCGGAGTGATGGTGGAGCTCAACAAACGAAACACCGCAGCACCTGTCCAAAAGACACCTGGCCGGGTCCCTCCAACCCTGCACTGCCTCAGGCCCGAGTTCACGAACAATGATGAAAGCAGCAGTCACGACAAGATTGAGTATATAGTTAGAGTCGTAGCGGTGGTGAGTTGCAGCTGCAGCACCGTCGCAGCGAAAGGTTTCAGAGGTTCTACATCTCTAGACCCGCATGTTCAGTGTTTCAAGTCGCAACCTTCCTCCCACCCGCTGTTTCCGATCTCTGCATGCTCATGTTGAGTCATGAACCGTGAAGGTCATAAGTCTGAGAAAAGATATCCATAGAATGATGGCTCGTGTGTGTCGACGTGCCCGGGCCTTCGCGATACTGCGGAGCCAGTTCTAAAAAAAAGAGAGTCACGCGGCGTTGCGGGTGAAACGTTGCAAAATCAGGCACCTGCGCAGCAGGGGCCATCTGCTGCATAGCCATTGTCGAATTGAGAGCTCCGGCTGCAAGGGTTGAAAGGCCTCAAGCTCTGAATGCTAATTATGCATACTTGATAAAATGCAAGCAGGATCCATGCGGCGATACATTAATCTCGCAGATTATGAACATCATCCTGGTAAATGCCTCGCTGGAAAGATGTCTGGGTGTTGGCAAGCATTAGAAGCAGCACCTCCTGAAACTCACTAGAGCGAATCCCCGCCAAGGTCATGGAGGCACAAAGCTTCGTTGTGAAATTCATGGTCAAGTAGAAGGTGCCTTCAAAATGCCAAGGAAGAATTCCGCGTAGCCTGAGCAGATACACGATCCCATAGACACCAAAAACCACGACGAGGGCCACTGCAAGCAGTGGGCGTCCAAGGAGATGCCCGTCGGGGTTGTCCTTCCTCCAGAGCTTCACCCACATGATCATGTCCCAGGAAGCCTTGAAGTACATGAGAAAAGACACAGCCACCACAATGTAGCGGACATAGGCAAGGGCAATGAAATTTGCACACCACGCCAAGGTCATGTAGACGTTTGTGACGACCAGGGGCAGCGATACCTCATATGCTGGACGCCCGAGGGAAATCTGACCCGCCAGGATAATCAAGATGGGCACGTTGATCAACCACTCGGCGAAAAAGACGGTGTACACGGGCATGCCATCCAGGTCGGGATTGTCCGACACAGACGCATGTGCGAACCAGGCAGAGCTTCCTGCAAAGAAACACATGTTTTCCAAGATGAGCACGGCAAAGGTTGTGCAGAGCAGCATGGATGGAACCAAGGACTCCTTGATGTTGGGTATCAGGCTAAGGGCTTTCTTGGCGGTCCTGTAGGTCAGGATGACGGTGGCAAGCTCGTGCAGGAAAACCGCCAATAACGCTGCTGTAATGAGTGCACTGTACGGTACCAAATCTGATGCCGTTCGGTGCTGGTCTTGGCACTTCTGCACATCAGAGCACAAAGATGGTCGCAGGATGGCGTAGCACAGGCCAACCACAAGGAAGGTTATGACGACCCAGGAGGTCTTCCGAGTCAGAAGCTGCTTGAGCATGAAGCTGTCGGTCACCTCGGCGCTTTCGCTTTCCGGGACACTCTGGCAGGCTTTGCTCGGAGCTTAGATAATTCGGTTTGGGAGATGCCGGAGACCGCCAATCCAAGATCGCCCCAGAGCTTGAAGCCAAGTCCACCTCTCAACTCCTATGCGCAAAACCCTAACAGCACAAGTTCTGAAATGGCGATGTGCACAGACTTGCTTGAAGCCTCTAACGCCATCCCAGCTAGCCCTCAGATGCAAGCGACTTCCTCCTTCACCTCGCGGTGCACAGGACCAACCTTGATGGACTGCAGGGAGCTTGCTCCGACCGTCGCTGCCGTGCCATTGTGTGTCAGCCTCTCACAGCGAAAAGCCACGCGGTTTGCTTAGAACCAGGTTGAATGTGCGAGTGTTTATGCACGCTTTGTCGGCCTTGACGTGCTGTTGGAGCTTTGGTGTAAGCTGAGGGCAGCAGGGAGGGCAGGCCGGAATGGTCAGAATGGGGAAAATGCCGAAGCAGAGTTAATTAATTTGCCAGCGGAGATCCCCAATCAGTGAAAAACCACAACAGAAGCAGCATGCCATCAGGACTAGAATGTCACGAGCACGGTCACATACGAGCGGGGCTGAAGTGCTCGGGAAACACAGAAGTCGCAACCAGTTGCCGTCTGTGCTTTTCCAGCATTTACGTCATGTGACCGCCCAGGACGAGCTCTGCAACCAGGACGTCCAGGACAACAACGACCAGGATCATAAGACCACCAGGAGACCACCTAGGATTCAGCCAGGAGAAAAACCGTGAGACCAGCAGACCACGAAGAGATCACCGAGAGAGCACCAGACAGCAGACCACCAGGAGACCATCAGCAGACCAAGAGACCACCAGGAGACCGCCACGAAAGGAGAGTCCCAGGACAGCCCCAGGCGACCAGGAGGACTCTGCCAGAATGCTTCCCCCAAAGACAAGCGCATTTCCAGCCACCCAGAATGCCTTCCCCCCAGCAGTGGCGGGATTCGAGAGAGCACGGCGGAATAGCCTTTCCCCGAAGTACTACAACCATGAACGCAAGAACCCCATTTAGTGCCAGACTGCTTGGGGAATTTGCCCAGACATCTTTCAATCCCCGAATCACAGGGCCCAGCTCCGAACAGTCGTAAGCCTGAAGCTTGAAACTCAAGTAACCCATGGCACATGAAACCAACAAGCTCCACTGACACAGTCTCCAGTCGCCTGGCTCTCGATCCTTGGGGTGCGAGCGATCCTTCGGGTGGGAGCGGCAGCCTCAGAATTACCAAGGGGAATCGGGTCTAGGATTCAGAGTTAATCATAAGATTCGTAATTAATTACTTTGGTAGCTACCTTGGTATCAGGGCAAGGGCGAGGGCAAGCGCACATGCTTCCCGACATGAAATGTCAAGAACGCACGAAAACAACGGCAACGTGATAGCCGTCGCATTAGTTTCAGGAGCTGCAGATTGAAAAGAACAGCAGCACTCAGTACAGCAGTGACAGTAGAGCCGCTGATCCATACCCACCTCTGGGCACTCAGCCCTCTACCTCGGCATCAAGTGACCCAGACACTGGTCAATCCATGGCGCCGTTTGGGAACGGCAACCCTGAATGGGGCACCTTCAGATGTGAAATGATGTGAGCTGAGCCCTGAACCGCTTAACTTATGAGGCCGTCGAGCAGCTCATCTGGCTCATCGCATGGTTGCGGAACCACAGGAGAAACTTTCGCCATGCAGCCGCCCAGACTTCGACTTGGGCCGAAACTGACTGAAGCACAAGAACATCCTTGCAGCCCCGAACCTATCAGGTAAAGAACGAGACAAATCCATGACAGATCCCCCACCATCACCATGGCCTTCAGCTCTGAAATCTAGCGTCGTAGGCAGGGCATGAAGCAGTTCAAGCGGTCTACGCGGGGGTTAGACTACTCAAATAGGCTCAGGACCCTCAAGGCCTGCTTAGCTGCTCCATGAGTTCGGCCAGTGCCGGCTTGAACAACGTGGCAAGATCGCTGCGACACGGCAACTACAAGTTTGAAGTGTCTTGAGGATGCAGTCATGCATTAGGGTGTTGTGATTCCTGGGATAATCCTGAATCCAAAGCGAGAGTCAATGCCAGCTGCCACTGGGATGACTTCGAGCAGCTGGAGACCTGGAGTTCTGAAGGGTGCGGTGGGCTCAGGCATAGCAACAATTCTGCGAAAGTCTGCAGAAACGAAGAAAGGCCGTGGGCTTGTTGACGTGTTTGTGTTTCACTCGTGGATATTCATTGACGTCCTTGCTTCCTTTCGTTTATTTGTGCGTGTCTTCGGGCCATGCGTGGGGGGGGGGGGGGGGNNGGGGGGGGGGGGGGGGGGGTGCCTGCATGCAGTTTAACAGTTTAACCACTCATGGCCCCCAGTACAGTATTGCAGATTTAGGCGATCTGTCCGAAAAAAACAAGGAAAGAAGAAACCCCGAACCACCTGTGCGACACAGAAAAAGATGGGGCTCATGAGTCCAGCAGCAACGATGTTGAAGCTAATCGCGTTCGCCAGCCCCTGCCGACTGCCTCAAGTCTGCACAGAAGGCTCAGGCTCCATGTCTGCGGTTTAACAGTTTAACATGTCTTAACCACAATGGTCTTTGGGGGCTGAGGTCTACGGATTATAGGGTAAGGTTAAGCGGCCGGAGCGCTGCCTGCAGTCGAGGGGAAGACGGTTGTCATCCATGCCACGCTAAACCTCTCTTTCTCTTGTTCAAGACCCTTGGAACAAAGCTATACATCGGGAAGAACACAACTGAAACAGTGTGACCGCAAAGACATGAACAATCATTCTGGACATTGATGCACCAGGCATCGCAAAGAGCAAAGGATCGACCAGGTTTTGTTGTTCGGTATTCGTGCTGCTGTCATCCTTGCTAACTGGACACAGCATTGATGTTGCGCGGGAGGTTTGGATCTTCAAAGCCGAAATCTGAGTGCTAAGCTTGGAGGCTTGCATGCAGCCGCTGATTTGGTAAGTCAGGGGATAGCAGGGCTTAGACGGACCGCAGAGATGAACAGAGATTTCACACCAAACGTCACAGTGATGACTTCTGTGTGTTCGAACCCATCTCGATCTCGGTGGCAATCACACTGCCATGTGCAGGCTGGCAGCCAGAGCCACAACAGGTGTGCTGTCTGGTCAAACCACGGGTTCTTCTAATTTCATACTCAGGCCGTGGACACTCGAGGCATGAAATGACCTAACCGAGCAGCGAACCCGATGCTCCAGAATGCCTCCAATGCGGTCAAATCGCTCAGGATCTCAAGGGCAGCTTCCCATTGCACCGAAGAAGCCTGGATCTAGCTGGCGTAGACTTGCGCAGGACTGTCATTCCAAAGACAATGCAGAGGGCCCTCTACCTGTAGTCCTTTAAAGGAACACCTTAAAGAAGGTACCCTTGCCGATCTGTCTGCTGCTTACTAGGAGATGACACGCCTGGTGCAGGACTTCTTGTGAATGGAAAGGCTGGTGCGCGGTTCAAGAGATTCGATTGAGCTCTTGAGAATTCCGACTGAGTTAGGGCCTGCCAGAAACCTGATTCGGTTCAGAAAGACAAGACTTCGAAGACTCTAAAATGCCCGTGGAACTCGATCACTCTAATCGCTGCTTCGAGCTCCGGACAGCTCTGAAGGTGCAAGTCGAGCACAGTGCAAGGAAGATCTGGGACCATCGCATCTTTGTGATTGCTAAAGACAGGGAAGTCACTAGCCCCAGAGCAGAGACCAGGCCTATACAGAAAAGATGTCTCCCTAGGCCCACAGTGTCAAGTCTGCCTCAAGTAGGGCCGTATCTAACCATCTTGGCAGCATGGGGTCTGAGAGCTACCATCCTACTGTGATGAGAACTGTTCTCACAACAAGGCACAAGCAACAAGAATGCCAACCAAGCGGCGCATGCAGAGAGGACGGCATTGATGCCTAAGTTGAAGTTGAGACGAGCCCATACTGTTACAGTGCAAAGGCGACAAACACAGATCTACTGGGAGCAGCACGACTGCATCCTAAAGCCTCCACCACCACCGCCGCCACCACCACCACCGCCGCCACCACCACCGCCGCCGCCACCACCACCACCGCCGCCGCACCACCGCCGCCGCCGCCTCCACCGCCACCAGCACCAGCACCAGCACCAGCACCAGCACCAGCACCGCCACCTGCAACAGAAAATTACTTGGTACTGCTTTAAGGATAACCCTAAGGGACAAGAACACCGCTCGGACCGCTTGCTAGAGTGACCATCTTTCCTTGATTTTAGGCAACATCTTCGGCCAAGCAGCAGATGTCGTTCGAGCGCTCGTCAAGAAGTTGGACAGCCTATACTGAGGGACATCCAGACTTCCATCACTAGACCGCTGCAGCATCCCACAGGCGATGAGCCATGCGTCTTGCCAAGTAGTGTGTGACAGGGTGAGATGCTGAGCGCCATGGACATCGTGTGCGCACTCGATCGGACACTGAATGAGCTCTGCATGCTGCGAGGCTTTGCCAGTGGACAGAAAGAGTGGGTTCTCTGACACTCGACTTAACAATTAGCAACAACTGCTCTGTGGTTTCATTGCTTCGATCGAGGCTGTCAGTTGTGTGCCGTCGCTTGTGAGCGAGTCGTCCAAAGTACAAGTATCCGGACAATCTCAGATCTGCTGCATCTTGCCAAGAGACAGCTTCCCAAGCAACTGCGCTGGCACAAGTGCTGCTGCAGGCCTCTCATCGCAACGGTTTGACTAAAGGTTTCGTTTGCATTCTAGCTGCACCTGCTGGTGATTCTTGGGAATTGCGTGCATTGTCTGGGCTGCAGGCCTAAGGCCCAGGCCCGTCTAGGCGATGCTCGGAAGCCAAATGAACCGTCGAACGTTTGCGCACTTAGGCTGCCGCACATGGCTTCAAGTATGCACCAGGTACACTGCGTGTCTGAGACCACGGCACTGCAAGATATCAGCGAAGGACGCATGTTCCTTAGATGGCTCGCTCCCCTGTGTCAAATTCTGGAACGGTCCTGGTGCTGTACAGGCACCATGCTCTTGCAAGTCCGGAGTACATCGAGAGAGAAACGGAGCTTCGTCACAGAAGCAAACCTACCATACCAAGTGCCGGCCAAGCTATCCTAGGATTTGTCATGTGTTCTGCGTGCATCACTAAAAGATGCGTTCCGTACCACCGTGGTATTGCACCGTTCTGGCGCCAGTAGCATTCAGCAAAACAGATTCTGTCATTATACGGCAAGCAATGCCCTAGAACATTCCGTAAATGACCATAAACAGTACAGATAAAAAGCAAAGGCAACAACCACCACAACATCCCCACAGAGGAAGATGTCGGCAGTCGTCGCAGTACTCGCGATGGTGGAAACAGAGGGACTGTTGCTGTTGTGCTCGTCGCAGTCGCCGTCGTTGGTACTCAGAGGTGGTGGTAAGTAACAGCAGCAGCAACAGCAGTGGAAGTACAGTAGCAGTGGCAGTGGCAGCGGCAGGGGCGGTGGCTGTGGCAGCGGCACTGGTATCGGCAGCGGAGGTGGAAGGGGCAAGGGCAGTGGCAGCGGCAGTTGGCGGTGGTAGTAGTAGTGGTAGTA